TATTTGAGAAGTTCTCTCTTAATACTATTATGTTTTATACTGTGTCACATTTTATATATTTGCCTTCTATTCCTCCCTTTTCAGGCCACAGAGAAGAATTGAAACTGAAGTAGGGGCATTAACAGCTATCACCCACATGATACTATTAGCATATAATATGAATAGTTTTTTAATGCTGAAAGAAACTTAGAGAACACAGATTATCAAGGACCACCTGAAAGAAATCTTAAGCGATCAGAGATTATCAAGGACCATCTCATTTTACATACATGGAAAGCAATACCCAGAGAAGTGAAGTGATGTATATAAGATCAAAATCTAGTTAACAAAGGAACCAGGAATAGAACCTGAGTCTCAATGCATGTTTTACTTGCTCTCCTTCCCTATACATGGTATCATACGAGGAAAATAACATCAAAAGATTTCAAAAGCCTGGTTTACCTATAGTAATCCTACATATAGCAACATTTTTCTAAGCTGAAAATTTGGTGTACATTTAGTAAAAAAAATCAATATTTCTTTGAAACCCAGAGCATCGAAAAGATACACCAGAACACATCCTCATGAAAAATAATAGAGTGCCCAGTTTGGGTTCCAGTGAGTTAAATCTCCATAATCTCATTGTCTTTATTACTTTCTACTTGCCTGGGAGGATCTACTTCACCTCAGAGGATAAGACCTGAAATGTAACATTACTACAATTCTATAATTTTTAATGGATTAATCAGATGGAAGGAGTGATGGACAAAGACTATTCTCTAGGTAGATGGTTCCTTGTCCAATTACAGGGCATATCTTAGAACAAGTACAGTTTATCCAGGGAAAGATCACAGTTCAATAAGAGAGGGTCTATTATTTGACAATAATGATTGTGTACAGAGTGCTCCACATCACGAGAAGCTTGTGCAGCCTGTGCACAAAAAAAGGTGATCATGCAGCAGTTTGTTGAGTAATTTACATTTGCAGAGTGGCTGGCAAAATACAGTTTACAGAACTAGGTAGGTTAGGAGGCAGAAACAAGGTCCACAACCCGAAGTGGCAACTATTATGTCCCTAGGCTCAAGACTCCATGTCAGCTGTGGGGTGGGGCCTGTAGAAAGTGACAGTTCTCGACTGGGTGCATATGAGAGTCAATACGCACAATAATCAGAAAGTAGAAGTAAATGCAGTGCAGAACTGAGCCTAGGGACTGGTGGGGAGGGGGGCGGATGAATGAAAGCCTGGGTTGCTGCATTTAAGAAGGCAATCCCTTGCACAACCCTGACAGTGAGTGTCCCCTTAAGAATGAGATGCTGCATGGGGTGCCTGGGTGGCTCAGTAGGTTGAACTTCCAACTTCGGCTCAAGTCATGATCTCACAGTTCATGGGTTCAAGCCCGGTGTTGGGCTCTGTGCTGACAGCTAGCTCAGAGCCTGGAGCCTGTGTCAGATTCTGTATCCCCCTCTCTCTCTGACCCTCCCCTGCTCATGCTGTCTCTCTCTCTCTCAATCAGAAATAAATAAAACGTTAAAAATTTTTTTGAAAAATGAGCTGCTGCAATAAAGCAAATCAATGGAAAGAGAACAGACACAACAGAACACTAGGATGTCAGAAAACCCCTAAGGGGACAGCACAGGAAACTCCTGGAGCAACGGTATAGGTAAAGCATGGTGACAGGTATGATTTCCTGTTGAATAGCTGCATAAAGTATTTTGAACTTGAGAAGCAACTCATGTTTCCTTAATTCATAGTGCAGTGTCTCCCAAGTTGTCGTGTGCATCCCTGAACTCTACCTTGTGTGTGTTAGCATTTTATTAGACTACTAATTGCAATTGAATGAGTCCCCTGTCACATAAATAAGCACATTAATTTTGCTTTCCAAGAATACCATGAGCCCAAAGGACCATTCCTGCAAATCAAATGTGAAGGTTGTTTTTTATCATTGACATCTTGTCACTCCACAAGGCTCAGTCTTTCTCAAGCATGGGCGTCACTTCCGTCTCTATTTCTGGACCTGTAGGGCTGCACCATCTCACTTTTAATTATTATATAATCTCTTATCTCTTGCTGCCCAGATATTAGAGTTTAATAAAAAGAACTCATAGTTTCCCTCCTCAAACCCCACACAATATTGTTCCCAGTGATTGTGCCATTGCTTATGCATTTACCTCTTCCTGAGGCTCCCTGTCCCCCACTTACATCCACTCTTCACACCAAGATAATGAGAGGAAGTTTGTCTCTTTCACTAGACATGAACTTTACAGGGAAAAGTCTTGTCTTTTCTAAGCTCCCAGAATTTTTCACGAAAGACTATAATGCTAAGTTAAAGCTCAAAATATATTTAGTGAGCTGAATTCACAGCAAGAAGCTGACGTCACCTAATGTAGTAAGGGCATTAGAAGTAGGGTAGTTATGAATGAACTGACTGAGGTTAAAAGGCAAGTACCCCTCTTCACTCTTATATTCTTCTTAGGCAAGAAAAGAGTCCAGCTTTCCATTACACTCTGTCACCAACATCCAGCAGTCATCGACCCGTGTTACCTGGAGCCCAAACACAATAGGACATCAGAGGGTGGATGTGATAAATATCGGAACATACATAAGAGGTAAAAATTATGGAAAGAGAGAGAGGGAGGGATGGAGAGAGGAAGAGAGAGAAGGAGAGGGAGAGACAGAAGGAGAAGGAGGAGAAAAGAAGAAGAGCAGAGAGGGGAGAGAAGAAAAATGGAAAGATGGAAATTAGCAGTGATGAGAGACTGAGAATACTACAATGCAGAGAATGAAGGGTGCAAAAGGCATTCATCTTGTCTGATTCCTGAAATCTAACTCTTCATGTTGTGTGTGGAAATGATTACATATCAGAAGTATGCTGATGTATGCACTTCCTCTCCCATCCTGTGCCTCTCCATTTCAAATTTTAGCATCTTACCTCAAAGATCCCATTAGTGTGGGGGAAAATCTCCAAGTCACTCTCAAACTAGAACTTCCATGTCACTGGGTATCCCTTTCTTCCATCTTGGAGCTGTTCTCTGTTTGAAACATTATCTGTACTCATCACTCTTGTTGGGCCTTCCAGTTTCATGTCAGAAACTTCTAGTTTTCCTAGGTTGGCTGAATGTGTCCCCAAGACTTTCTCACTGGTCATGGCACTGTGACCCCTATGAGCTTACTTTCCCAGATGCTTTCTTTACTCTATATTTTGCTCATTCCACATTATACTGGCAAGGATTAGGAGTCCACCCTCATGGCTAATGATAATAATTCAGCCTCACAGAATCTTTTTTCTTACTAATAAAAATGTTAAGTGTTTATTCACACCAAAGACAATGAATAACTCAGCACCTAGATGACACATTTTTATTAATTATAACTCTTTTGATGTGAGTGACAGAAATCTTCTTGCATTTTAATTATCTTAATTAGTTTAAACCAAAAGAAGACTTTATTGGCCCATATAGTCAAAGTATAGGAAGGGCTAATAAAGCTGGCTTAAGGGATGATAGAAACCAGAGACTCCTGTATCACCAGGGACTTCTACATCCCTCTTCTCTAGTCCTCTATTTTCTGTCTCTTGGGCAGGTTTCTGGGCACAGAAGGCCTGGTTCCCATGTTTCCATGCTTAGCCCATTATTGCCTTGGATAGGAGAGAAAAGGAGCCTTCTTCTCTCAGATTCAATTAGAAAAAGCTTGAGGAAAAGGGATCAGGGAAGGCAAATCAATACACATCCGTGGCACATGATTGGAGTAAATGGTAAATCTTCATTGGTGTTTCTCCCACTCGTGATGAGTTTTCACTTAATATGTCATGAAAAAGTTTGAACGGAATTCGGACACTATTTAGCCTCTGAGACCAAAACTTGCTCCAATTAAAAATAAACACAAAGGGTGTCCTGCCTCAGATCTGCATAGTATCCTACAAGGATGTGTTCTTTTCTCACTACCACTACTCAGCAGTGGATCCCAAAGGTACCTATGTGGGATATAAAGTTCAGAACATTGAAAGGTATCTAATCTTACCTCCAATTCAGTGGAGAAGTCACTAAAACAAAGAAACATGGCAGGTATCATCCTCTATTGTTGAGAAACTGAAGAGCTTCAATGTGCCCAGGTCATAATCATTTGTAAATTTATTATTCACAAATATAACAATAAGCCAAGATATGTCTCCCTATAACTCTTGCCATTGCTCACTTTACACAGTAAGACTCTGTTTATCTTTCTATCTCTCTCTTACTTACACACACATACACACATACACTGAATAACCCATATTACCATATAGTTAGAGACAGTCATGATGTCCTCCAACACCTAACACTTCATATTTTCTTTTTCATGTCAATTTGTCAGATTTACTCAAATATTTTATATATTTTAGAAATACTTTTTCACCTGGTTAACATCTCTGGACAAAGTCTAATTCAATACTGCTTAGAAAATGTAAACTCAAAACCAACTATAATTGGTAGTATAAGGTGTCCTCACTAAAAACATGATGAGAATATTGACTTTATAGGCGCATACTCTCAATAATAAAAATCCTTTCAGCTTTAATGATGGAAGACACGCACATTTATCAGGTCTTAGGCAGTGGAGTGTCCCCCAAAATTTCACCATTTGCCTGATGCTTTTTCCTAGAGAAATACAAAGCCATTTCCAAAAGAAAGTATTCTAAGGATCTGGAGCCCCAAAGATAGATCACAAATCAAATTTTAAAAATCAATAAGGAATGAGAACATATCAGATGCAAGAGTGAATGAATTTATTAGGTCAAACAAAACTGACATTCTGTAAGAATTTATGTAATTCTGAGTCAATTGTTTTAAAATTACAGACGTGCACTTAATATTTTGGTCATTCGTTAATTTCACCATCTGAAAGAACTGGACTGTCAGCGAGTACTGGATGCTGGAGAAAGGGCTAAGAGCCAGCAATGAGAGGGGATATCTAACATTACTGAAAACCCTTTGGGAGAAGCTCTAAAAAGAGACTGAAATATTTTTCTCAAAGTGTCTGGAAGCTCAACAAGTCGATCTACAAAAGGCTGATTTGTAGGTTGGCCTGTAACAGGCAGACTGACAGCTTCTAGAAGCCCAATAGGTAGGGCGGCAGAAACTGGATCCATAGCCCAGGGAAGGAAAACCCCAGACTCCATAACCCAGGGGTCTGAAGCCACTGGATCCACAGCCCAGGGACCAGCAGCTCCTGGACCCAAAGCCCAGAGAGCCAGAGTAAGTCGTCTGGCAGGGACTGCAGAGCGTGGAGGTCCTCGGGCGGGAGCAGGACCCGTGGCAGGGGCTGGACACCACGCAGGACGTCTGGCAGCTGGTGGGCTCGCAGCAGGTGTCCTGACAGCTGCCGTAGATGGGGGCTCCCAGCTGGCAGGCGCTGGGAGAGCAGAGGTCCGTGCAGTAGACCAGGTTGCTGGGGTAGGAGGAGCTTGGGCAGCGCAGGTAACCCCCAAGGGAGCGGGAGGAGAAGTTTCCAGAGCAGCAGCTGTAGGACATGTTGACGGGAGATGTGAGTTCAGCTGAGTGAGCGTCGGAGGGTGCTCTGAGTTTCAATTCCATGGTTGGGACTCCACGGTTATATATACTCTTAGACCTGGGTGTGTCACCGTCCAGATGTCCCTCCTCCTCGCTTGTCTTTTTATGCAAGAAGGCCTCTCTAGGTTATTGCTTAAGTCTCATTTATCACATCTTCACGTACTTAATTGTGCTTCAATCACTCTGATACACTTAGGAAGAAGCTCCTCAATTTAATTCCCCAGAAATTCTCTGTGATTTGCTCTTTGAAGTTCTATGTCACCATATTCCCAAATAGTCTTCATGTGGGTGATGAGTCCTTGTCCTATGAAATGGAATTTATCAGTCTCTTCCTTACTTCCGTGAAATTATTAGGAGACTCAGTGGTTTGTCCTTTTCCTCCCAAGCACTTTAGAATGGATTTCTCCAAATACTAACTACATTCAGCCGTATCAACAATCACTTGAACCTTTTACTCTCTTTCTATTTGAATTAACCCATGTAATTACTGATATCTATTAATTTAGCTTAATTAAATTGTAGATTCATCAGCAAAGCACTCAGCCTGCCTTTTTCTGTGATATACTTGGCTTTCTCATGTCTTGAGCTTGCCACTGGAATGAAGGGGTATGAATATTACCCTTGTTCATGCCACTGGACTTCCTTAGAGGGAATAGAAGCCTTTTTAGGCTTCCTTAAAGGATGCTCTTTTAAGAAACAAATGCAACCCTTTGAGTGAGACTTTATTTTATTTTATTTTTTTAATGTTTTACTTATTTCTAGGAGAAAGAGAGAGACAGCATGAGCAGGGGAGGGTCAGAGAGAGAGGGAGTCACAGACTGAAACAGGCTCCAGGCTCTGAGCTGGCAGTCAGCACAGAGCCTGACGCAGGGCTCGAACCCACGAACCGCGAGATCATGACCTAAGCGAAAGTCGGACGCTTAACCGACTAAGCCACCCAGGCGCCGCGAGTGAGAGTTTAAATACAAGTATTTGCCGGAACTGAGTTTCTGCATATATTTTCTGATGAGCCTGTCTTGTCACAAACATTGTTCTCTGTTTTTGCCCCAAGTCAACGTACAGTTTTGTTGTTGTTGTTTAGCTTTATTTCTGGATGAAAGGACATATTCTTAGTTGCAGTTATTAATTTTCATCTAAAATAATGTTTCAGGAATTAACATTTAGCATTTTCTGAAGCCACTAACATGAAGTATGAGAGCAACAGGGTGTTTAATATCTTCAGTCAACCCACACATTGAAAAAATTATGCCTCAAATTGGTCCAGTAAATTCCTCCTGAGTGGTAAGTAAGATAAAAGCTCCAACCATGGTCTCCTTATACAGAGTCAAGATTCAAATACTCTGCAAATATAAAAGTAAATTTAACTTTAACTTGTCTCAGAAAAGAATCTATTAAGCTTATTTATACTAAGATATAAAAGCCTAATAAAAGCCTTATTTACCTCTCCAAAGAATATTTGCATTGAATACTGTTCAACAGTAGAATTCCATGCATCACTGAGTTTTATGCATTTAAAGTATACTTTACTTTCTAGCCCAAGAAAGAGAAAAGAACCTGGATAACCCATACTCAGATAAACGAGAAAAAAAAAAAAAAAAGGAAGAAGAAGAAAAAGGGCTGTTTCTTATCTGGTTTGTGCCCATTCATCTTCTTTAGAATCTGACATTTGATTTGGTTTAACTAAGAGGAATGGCATTTACAATTGTCATTGAAAAGAAAGCTTTTTAACTACCTGAAAATTAACTTGCTGAATTCCAAAGCACAAAGCACGCTGCTTCAGCCCACTTAGTTACTTTGTTTTATGATTATCTCTCCCATGCAGAATCCAAAGTGTGGCATGCATCACATGAAGTGCTCTTTTGCAATACTTAAGCCATCACTCTGATTCACTGAAGGACAATAAGTTTATGCTTTATGAATGGACACCTGTTAAATGTACTAAAGAAGCATGTACCACCCTCAACACATGGGATGCCTTGAAATGCCAGACTTTAACTCCTTTAGAATGCATAATATTTCTTTCTTCTTATTAGTAGTTGATTCTACTAAAAAAAATACTTTCCAAGACTTTCTAATATCCAGAAGTGCTTGCTTTTCCGGGCCAACTCCCTAGTCTTGGGAATTAACATTGAAATAACTCAGGAATAAGTCGATTCCAATTAACATCCGCCACACCCAATCTTAATTAGGCTAACAGTTTTCATTAGTCATTTGCGCACTTTGTACAGATACTAGTGAATAACTCATAAATGCTAATAAATGTGTCCCTCTGAAAGGAAGAAGAAAACAAAACAAAACTAAAGTGACTATTAAGTTCAGAGGTGGATCCCAAACTAATAAAACACACTGTGTACCTTATAAGCACAGGCAGAGTGTTTAAAGAAAAAAAAATCGCCTGGATAGGTCAGTAGAAAAATGCTACATTGCACATTTTTTTTGAAATAGAAAAATACCAGTACTAGATGAAATAAACAAGCATTAGAGGACTCACTGGCCACAAGTAACTTAATGACGTGAATTCCTTGAGTAACGATTGTTTTTCCAGGTCACCGCACGTCATCGAGTTCAGTCTTCAAGCCGACAATCTCCTTTTGCAATGTTTTCAGATATTTTTGAATACTGTTCAAATTAGGCAAATATTAGTAGAAATAGTAGAAATCCATATGCTCCAGCCTAGATCTTTCATCTTCCCTGTTCATTTTTTTCTTACATTCTCACAACTGCCTTTTCTAGACTTACAAGTACCTTTCCTTACCCCATTTGCAAAGGTTCTTCTTCATAAGAGTTATTCTTCACTAGGATTTTACTTTCCAAATTCCCTCACTCAAGGACTGATTCGTCCGTTAAAGGCCGTAGATAAGTATGGGCTGAAAGACTGATTTCTGGGAAAAAGATGAGGAAAACCACTCCTCCTCGCTGCTCTGCCCCCGTTACAGACACCAAGCAAGCTGGCCAAGGTAGCAAGCTACTACTTTGCCAGAGATCACCTGCCTCACTGTTGGACCCTGCTGGGCGCTGGCTCTCCTCTTACATCACCACAGCCTCTTCCTGCTTCAAACTGACCATTTTAAGGCTGCAGAACCACATCATCCATAACTCCCACTGTATTTTCTAAAAATTTTTAATGTTTATTTATTTTTGAGAGAGAGAGACACAGAGCACGAGCAGGGGAGGGGCAGAGAGAGAGGGAGACACAGAATCAGAAGCAGGCTCCAGGCTCCGAGCTGTCAGCACAGAGCCCCACACACAGGCCCCACAGAGCCTACACTGGTTTCCGCAGGGGCTGTGCCATTTTGCATTCCCAACAGCAAAATTCCAGTTGTTCCAATTCCTCAATAGCACCAGCATATTATCATGCTTTATCATTACCATTATCCATTATTATTTTGCCTCCTCTAAGAGGCATGTGGTAGTTGACCTGTGATTTCAACTTTCATTTCCCCAATGATTAATAATATTGTACATCTTTCGATGTGTTATTTGCCTTCCGTATCTCTCCTTGCGTGACATCTATTTAAAGTTTTGAAATAGCTTTTGAGTGGTTTCTCTTCATATAGTTGAGTTGTAATATCCCTTCATATAGCCCAGATCCAAGGCTTCTATCAGATATGTGTTTCTCGATATTTTCCTCCAAGGTTGTGGCTTACGGCTTGTCATTTCATTTTCTTATTGAAGTATTTTTAGAGCAGGTGTTTTTTATTTTGACTAAGTTCAATTTATCCAGCAAATTTGGTATTTGGTGCAATGCTTGAGTAAAGGATTTGTTTTTGTTTTTGTTTTTTTAAGTCACATAGACGTCCAATTATCCTGGTGCCATTTACTGAAAAGACTGTCCTTTGCCCATTGAATCACCATGATGCTTTTATCAAATCCAATTAATCATACATATACAAGGTTTCTGTTGGTTACACCTATTTCTGGAGTTACTCCTCTGTTCCATTAATGTACATGCCTACCCAATACTACCATGCCTTAATTACTACAGCTTTATAGTAAGCCTTGACATTAGATTGTAAATCCCCAAACTTCGTTCTTTATTTTCCAAACAATTTGCCTATTATGAGTCCTTTGTGTTTCCATATAAATTTTAAAATGAATTTGCCAATTTCCACGAAAAACTTGATATGATTTTTCATCAGGATTTTGTCATTTCTATATTCAGTTGGGGGAGAATTGAAATCTTTGTCTTTGCTTCATGAACATGAACTATCTCTACATTTATTTAAACATTCTTTAATATCTCTCATCAATGGGTTATAGTTTTCAGTGCACAAATCCTGCATATGTTTTGTTGGATTTACAGCTAGGTACTTTGTGGGTTTTCATGCTATTTTAAATGGTGTTTTAAAATTTCAGTTTCTATCCATTCATCACTTTTACATAGGATTACATTTTTCTATGACTTTGTATCCTACAACTGTCTGAAATTCATTTATTAGTTCCAGAAGATTTCTGTGAATTATTTGAAGACTTTTGTATAAGCTATCATGTCATCTGCACATAAAGCCAATGTTCTTTCTTCCTTTAAGATACGTATGATTCTTTTCTTTAGGTCTCATTGTATGTTTTTAAAAAAAATTTTAATGTTTTATTTATTTCTGAGATAGAGAGAGACAGTGTGAGCAGGAGAGAGTCAGACAAAGAGGGAGGTACAGAATCTGAAACAGGTCCAGGCTCTGAGCTAGCTGTCAGCACAGAGCCCAACATGGGGCTCGAACCCATGAACCGTGAGATCATGACCTGAACCAAAGTTGGACGCTTAACCGACTGAGCCACCCAGGCTCCCCTTGGTCTCATTGTATTGGGTAAAACCTCCAGGGTTGCTTGCATGGCTCAGTCCATTAAGAATCTGACTCTCAATTTTGCCTAAGCTCATGATCCTTGCTTCATTTACATGAACTATCTCTACATTTATTTATGGGATTGAGCACTGATCTTGGAGCCTACTTAAGACTCTTTCTCCCTCTCCCTTTGCCTCCCTTCTGCTCATTCTTTCTTTCTCTTTCTATCCCTCTCAAACAAAA